CTTTGGATTTTCATGAGATCCGGATAGTTACGATAGAAAAGATGTCTATACCTAAAGTATCATATATTGATGATTTCCATGAATGGCTGGGAACTGCTTTCACTTCTATGGTGTTGCAAAGGCTTTGTGCAAGGGAGCTAGGTGGCATAGTGGATAAAAAGTGCTGGGCGTGGAATCAGAAAGACCTGAGTTCAAATGATGCCTCAAACACATAGTAGCTGTGTGTCCCTGGGCATATTACTTGACTGTTGTTGGAAGAATGAATGAGATCATATTTGTAAAGTGTTTAGCACTGGTGCATTTAATAAGTGCTCCTTCCTTCCTTCATTCCTTCCTTTCTTAATGCCTTGAGTCCTCAAATACCAAGGAACTATATTCAGGATCACTCAAAACTTGGCAGCAAACACTTAAAGAAGAGAAAATCTTGAACTGCAATAGGCAAAAGATAAATGCTTAAGAGGTAAGGAATGTGATTTCCATCCCCTTTCCCTGAACCTAACTCAACCAATGTGATCATACATGATGAGGTTTTAATATGTAAACAAGATAAGACGATAACCTACGGTCCCTTTATGAGGGATTGCTTGGATAAAAAATGGGAAGGAGATATTGACTGAACAAATAAGCTAGCTTACACCTCATGAGGGTTTTTAATACAGTAGTTAGATGAATTACAGTAAAAAGAGTAGTAAGAATCTAGTTTGGGATTTGGCGGTAGTTATGGAAAGGAGACTTTTGCACCAAAAATGGAGGGCAGCAAGGAGAGAGATTTTCTTTCCTTGTCACTACAATCACCCCAATCCACTGGCTATGTCATCAGAGTTACTGAACAATGTATCCAGCCAGAAGCAAAGACACACACCTGAGGACAGACATAGATGTAGAGAATCATCTAAGGGAATACATATATACATACATATATTTAAATATATATTTATATATTTATATTGTAGCAGAGTACTATGATGGTTTCAAGAAAGAAGTAGACTCTAGAGGTCCAGCTGAGTTGCCCACCCAAAAAAGACACTACACCTAAGGGGAGCTGTGTGAGGATTCTATGAAGAAACTACTTACAGGTCATGCAGTGCCAGGCTTTGTGAATTACCTTTTGCCACACGTGTATTCTACATGGGTTAGTTTGAAACCATTCTTCCCATGGATACTATCTGTATTTATGATAAAGTAAATGAACTCCAAGTTTGGAGGGTGAGGAGGAGGGGTAATATTTTATACCAACTGTTTTTTATTAGTTAATGTCTTTAGTAAATCTTAATAAACGCCTTTGTTAAAAGTTAAATAAACTGGCTGACTCAAGGGGAAGCGAAATAGTACAGATTTATAAGCCACAGTATAAGTACCATGTAGAGAGACACCCAATGGTTTACCCTTAGAACCTAAGGTAATAACCACTTTCTGGATACCCAACCCACAATTATAAGCACAAATTGGGGGAATGCTTTGAGAGGGGCTATTAAAAAACAAAAATAACTTACTCTGCAAAACTAAGAATAATCCTACAAGTTTTAAAAAAATGGATCTCTAATGGAATAGAGAACTTTCAAACATTCTGGATGGCAAGACTAGAGCTGAGCTGAAACTTTAAAATACAAACATGAATCAGTGTAGAATGTGGCTAGGAAGCCAGCCTCAAACCTGGGAAGAACTAGGTTCAAGTCCTGTCCTTTAAACAATGACTATGTGACCCCAGGCAAGTCATTTAACCTCTTGGTGCTCTAAACAACTGTCTAAGACTGAATCAGAAAAGGAGAGTTTCCTCATTCAATGAAGTTATCAATTAAATCATAGATCCAGTCCCTACTTAATAGAACTATGCACCAAATGGTATAGCATCCAAATATATCAAGGAAAATTGAATTGAATTATAGGGAGAATCATACAGCAAAATTATAATAGGTAAGTATCTCCCCAGTCTGCTCCTTTGAGACCTAGAAAAATCTAATTAAAAAAAAGATTTTTTAAAATTTAGGATCCAAATAGAATTGTAGGATACTTAGATAGGATAGATCTGGCAATTACAGAACATGAACAGAAAGCAGTATGCATATTGTTTGGTTGCACATGGCAACGTTACAAAAATTGACCATGTGTTAGGTCATGAAAACCTCATAAACAAATGTAGAAAGTAGAAATATACTTTTAAACCTCGTACTGACCACAATACAATAAAAATCATGATCAACAAAGAGCCTTTGAAGAAAAAAATTCAAACTTAAATGAAAACCAAATAATTTAATTATAAAGAATCAGTGGGTCAAATAACAAATCATAGAAACAATAAGTAATTTCATTAAGAAAAATGACAACAAAGAGACAGCATTCTGCAACTTTTGGAATGAAGCCAAAACAGTACTTAGGGGAAAATTATATGTTTAAACACATTCATTAACAAAAGAAAGAATTAACAGATCAATTACTTGAGTTTGCAACTAAAATAACTAGAAAAGCAATAAAATTTTAAACTTAACTAAAACACAAAGTAAAAATTCAGAAAATCAAAAGAGAAATAATTAAAAAAAACTATTAAAATGGCAAACAAACCAGGAGTGGATTTTTTGAAGGGAAAAAAACACAACAAAATAGAAGAACAATTATCTAATCTGATAAAAAGAAAAGGAAAATCAAATTACCAAAAAAAGGGAAAAAATGTTACAACAAATGAAGAGGAAAATGTAAAATTGCTAGAAATTATTTTGCTCAATTATATGCTAGCAAAAATAGTCATTTAAATTAAATGGATGAACATTCACAAAAAATAAAATAGATTATCAGGACAAGAAAGAGAATTAAAATAGCCCAATTACCCAATCTCAGAAAAGGAAAGCTTTTCTATAATTATTGATATAATCATGTGATTTTTATTGTTTTTGTAATTAATATGGTATATTATGTTTGTAGTTTTCCATTGCAGTTATTTGCTTATTACTGACTGATAAGAAGATTGGAAAGGTGAGAGGAAGGCCAGATTATGAAGGGCTTTGAATGCAAAGCAGAGGATTTTATACTTGATCTTGGAGCTAATAAGAAGCCACTGGAGCTCTGAACAAACCTGAGAAGATTACAGAGACTATTCAGTGTAAAGGAGGTATGAAAAAGTGTTTATACTTTACTCCTTTCATTGATATCAAGTTCTTTAATCAATTTGAGAGGATTATAGGGCCTTAGCATGAATGAATGCAACTGACACCATACTGGAAACTTAAAGTGATTGTCTTAGATCAAAGAGAAAAGGCGCCCATATGTACAAAAATATTTGTAGCAGCTCTTTTTATGGTGGCAAAGAATTGGAAAATGAGGTGTGTCCTTCAGTTGTGCTATATGAATGTGATGGAATACTATTTATTGCACTACAAGAAATGATGAAAGGATGGTTTCAAAGAAACTTGGGAAACTTGTTTGAACTGATGCTAAATAAAGTGAACAGAACCAGAACAATTTATACACTAACAATAATATTGTAAAGACAAACAATTTTGAAAGACTTAGAAACTCTAATCAACGTAACGACCAACCACAGTTCCCAAGGATTCACTACGAAATATGCTACTCACATCCAGATAGAGAGGTTATGGACTCAAGAGTACAGATTTATAAACATGGCCAATACTTTAATTTGTTTATACATGTTTATAATGAATTTTGTTCTTGCTTTCTTAATTGGGGGGAGGAGGAAGAGAATGTGAGAGAGAATGTGAACCTGAGAATAATTTTTTTTTTAAAAGACACAGAGTTAATCTTGTAAAAACAAAAACAAACAACCAAAAACTCTCACAAGAGGGTTTTGTTACTCTCTCTAAAGAGAATGGCATGAATTTCAAAGGAGTAGATGAATGATGTTAGCAGAGCTTGCAGAAAGTGGCAACTGGGAATAAGTATTCATTTCCTCCTCTTGGGTCAATGCAGCTTAATCAGCAGCCAGCACTGGCAAGGGGTCACCAGGAGCTTTCCTTATGGCAAAGACAAATTTGCTAGCCATTAGCAGGCAGAAGCTTATAGAATTAATGAATTCTAGGTTTTCAAAAATTCCTTCCTTACTTCCTCAAGTGACTCCTCTATGTAGGAGAGAGGTGGAAGAGCTCTCCAATGTAGGCTTACAGCTCAGAGGCCAAGGTTGGGCCTCACTCACTGTGAGCAAGTAATTTGGTTTCCCTAAGGGTAGGTGGGAGTATGAATGAAAAAATAAGAGTAGAGACTCTAATCACCACCACCCTTAATATTTTGCCTGGGAACTTGGGTTAATACACAGCCGTGACTAGAACAAGACTGCATGCCATATGGGAAGCCATGGGGTAGCTAGATTCTCCTCACATGCCTCATCCCTCTCCCAATTTCAGGGAGGGGGATACAGGGGGATACACACACAAGGGCAAGGCTCACAAATGGGGGCAAGGGAGATGACTGTCTTGGAAATCCAGCTGGAATGGAGGAGGCCTACAACTCTTCAGCCAAGATTTCCCTTCTCATGCGCACTCCCTAAGAATATCTTACACTTTACCTCTTGGTCACTTTCTTGTAGACCCATTCCCTTTCAGCTGATCTTCCCTTCTTCATGAAGTAGTTCCTCTCACCTATTCTTGGTCACCAACTCCTTACCCCCTCCCCCACAAACAACAAATTTTATTGGAAATCCAATATATGCCTATTTCTCATAGAACTTGTGGTCATCATCCCCCTTCCCTTCAGTCCTTCTCTCCAGGATTTAATTTCTTTGGAAATACTGTCACCTCAATGGTGGAGATAGAATTGTTCCCCACACCTAGTAGAAGATACATGGGGAGGCAGGGCAGAGTGTTTTACAGCATTATCCTGCCTCAATCTTAAATATTGGCTGTGGTGTCTGGCCAAGATTTCCCCTGCTGAAGGGAGGAAGGTGGGGCTGCCTGGCAATTGGAGATGGGGGCAGTGGGGGTGATGTTGGGGCATGTCACAACTATTGTATCTCACCTTCCCACCACCATTTTATGCTACCATTGAACCAGCTGTCATCTCAACCACAAAATTTCTTTATTGGTTCCACAAAATCCCCCTGTATCTACCTGTACCCACAAGGCCACATCTCTCAACTCTCTTTTAAGGGTTATCCAAATTTCCGCCTTACTCATAAAATTATGAATTAGGCAGTTACAAACTTATCCTTGCCAGCATCTTGATGTAGAGGATCCATATATCCTAGGGGAGAAGGGCAATGGCTGTGAGGAAAAGAGGGAAACATTGGCCCCAACCAGCAGGAAACCCTTGATTTCTCCCATGATTAAACCCCCATTTTAAATATGGGGAATCTCTTCCTCCCTCAGGAAGTAAATGTAAGCTAGAAGTAGGGGCTTAAGGAGCCCAATAAAGGGAATGTACCACTCTATTAGGGTTAACTTGGAGATGGAGAAGTTAGGCTTCAAAGAGAGTATGGCAGGGTGGGGGAGGGGGAACTTGGGGCCTCATATAAGGACTTGAATTGGGGCTATTTAGCCAAAGAAGAGAAGACAGGGCGATATGATTGCCGTCTTTAGCCTTAGGATAATAAATTTACAATGGCAAGGGATCTTGAAGGCCATCTTGTTCAAGTGATTTATTTGCTCAAGGTCACAAAGTAAATGGTAAAACTAGAATTCAAACCCTGGTCCTCTGACTCCTAATTTAGCATTCTTTCCAAACTATTCTGCTTGGTCTTGGAGAGCAGAACTAAGAGCAAAGAATGGCAGTCCCAAAAGAGGCAAATTGTGCCTGATATAAGGAAAAGCTTCCTCTCCAAAAGGGCTGGTATGAGAGATAGTGGTTTCCTCCTTCGCTGGAGGTCTTCAAGCAAAGGCTGGGTGGTCTCTTGTCAGTCATCAGTCAAACAGGAAACATTTATTAAGTGCTTATTATGTGCCAGGCACTACTCTGCTAAGGAGAAATTTTTTGTTCAGGACTATTATAATAGCCTTCTGGTTGGTCTCTGCCTTAAGTCTCTCCCTATTCCAAACCACCCTCCTGTCAAAGTGACCAACTTGAAGCACAGGTCCAACCATGTCACTCCTCTGCTCAATAAACTCCAGTGTCTCCCTATCACCCCCAAAATCAAATATGAAATCATCTGGCAAAGCCTTTCACAACCTAGCCTTCTCCTACCTTTTAATCTCCTTCTACCTTACCCCAGGTTTTCTGTGATCCAGTGACAATGGCCTCCTTGTTCTTCATTGCACAAAACAGTCCATTTCCCTTCGCAGTGCATGTTCACAGGCCATTCCCCATGCCTGCAAGTCTTGCCCTCTTCATCTTCACTTCCTGGCTTCCCTGGATTTTTTGAAGTCCCAGTTGTCCCACCTCTGACAAGAAGCCTTTCCTAATCCCCAATTAATGCTAGTGCCTCTCCTCTGTTGGTTATCTCCAACTTAACCTCTATATAGTTTGTATGTGTCATTTTTAATGTTGTTTCCCTTAATGCTTACCACAATGTCTAGCATATAGTAGGTACTTAATAAATGCTTGTTGACCAGATGACTGAGGTAAAGGTTGGACTAGATGGTTTTTGAGATCCATTCTAATTCTGGGAGACTGTGATTTAGAGAAGTCATTGTGGTTTTCCCTATTTCTTCGTGCTGCCAGACCTGGTGGCCTTTGTAGCCATGGAAAATTTACTTTAGAGAAGGCCCTCTGTTGCATAACGAATAGCCAAGAAGGCTGGCCTTTTCTGTGGCTGAAAGGATCAGATGAGCTTGGAGTCCAGGAAACATTTCCCTCTAGGGTAGCACTCTTCCCAAAACAGGCCACTCTCAGGATCAGTTTCCCAGTTTTACCTCCTCCCAGAACCCAGGTGTCCAATAACCCTGGAAACCAAGCATTTAGCCCTTTGGCTGCTTCTCTCTATAGCCCAAAACGCTGCACCACTAGCTTCAGGCCAACCTCCTCCACACCTTTCTCCATTCCACTCCCTGTAATCCAGCAATCCAGCTCCTTAGTTCAGCAATTCCTGCTCCCCTCACAGGCAGAGCAAGTAGTCCTGAGGCTTGGCAGTTATGTGAAGACTGGGGGTGAGGGGCATGGGACTTAGCATCTAATTGTAAATGGGAGCAAGATGGGTAGGGGGATGTTAAGAGGACATGCTGGCAGGTCACGATTGTGGAGAATCTCAGCAGTCGGTGGTGACAGTGGCCGAGAGCTCCTGGATTCGCCAGGCACTACAGGTCTTGCACAGGATATGACCATCCAAGGGGTAGCAGCCCTGACATTCTCCCTCTGACGACAGCAACAGTCCACATTCCTGGGAGGCAAGTGGGAAGAGAAAAGGAGGAAGAAAGGACAGGGAGACAAGACTCTGCCATCAGTCCTCTGCTCCCCATGCTCCCAGGACCCCCAGACTGCTTCTAGCTATATCCTCCACTTCCTTCCCCAAACTCACTACCCTCCACCTCTCCCCCACCCCCTAGCCCTCCAGCCCAGACTAGGTCCCCTGACCTCGCATTTGTAGCAACCGATGTGGAAGCTTCGATCAAGGGCAACAATCCTCACAGTCTCCTCCTGCCCAGGTTCAGGCATGATGGCACCACCGCACACAGAGCATCGAGGGGCAAACTTCCTGAAAGCAGAGTGGAGAAGGGTGTTGAGACAGGGGAGTAGAAGAGAAAAGGAACCCAGGGAAGTGGAACAGAGGACGGAGAAGTCAAATCCACAGCAAAAACAGCATGGGTCTGTGGAGAAACATCACTACAGACAGAAGAAGGGTAGGCAGAGTGGCATAGTGGAATGCATGCCAACTTGAGGTCAACAGACCTGGGTTCAAAACCTAGCTCTACCACTCCCCTGTCTGTGCTGTCAGACACATCACCCTACCTCTCTGAGTTTCAGTCTGCTCATTTGTAAAAATGAAAGATTGTACTAGGTGGCTTCTCAAGTTTCTTCTGACATTATGTGATTTCTATGATCCCTATGAATGGGGTAAAGATTTGGGGAAACTGACATAGGTAGGGGAATGGAGTTGTTGAGACCACAGAGAAGGAAAGGCTGAGAGAGAGGGTGACCATCAGGACCTGTGGAAGTCTTCAATACAGTGGATCTGGCTGGTGGCATCCACTGTGAAAGGAATGCCATCAAGGCCTTGGTGACACACAACACAAGTAAAGCAGCCAGGGTGATAGGCCTTCCCCATGGCCCGCAGAATCCGGTCCAAGATAGGCTGGGAGCACATGGAACACTTCTCCAGGGTTGCCTGTTGAAGAAGGGACAGGGCAGCCCCACAGTCAACTTTCCAGTCAAACTCCCTGCCAGAACCCAAGTGTCTGGACTCCCAGCCTCCCATCACCTTGGCACTCAACCAAGTCTCAAACCCTCTAGGGAAGAACTTGAAGATATGTACCCTATCTGGCATAGACCACACTCAGACCCGACTAAGTTATCTATTTCCCTAGCCTGGCAATCCTTTCTGACCCCAAATCTCCCTTCACACTGAACCCTGGCTTCCTGTCACTTACCACATAGCAGCCTTCACAATATGCCTTCTTCTCCACTGCATAGAAGTGCTGGCCCCGGAGCTGAGCTTGGCATGTGGAGCACACAAAGCAGCCCACGTGGAAGACACGGTCGAGGGCAATAACTCCAGCACCATCCCCTACCACGTCCTCCCCACAGCCCCCACATCGGCCTAGGGAGCAAGGCAGGGGCAGGGTGGGGAGAGAAGGGAAGGGAGAAGTGAGGTTCAGCTTTAGTCTAGAGAATACCAGAACATCCCTGCACCGCCCTCAAAAAAAATGCAGATGTTCAGACCCTGGCTCACCAAAGTATTCCCCACTGGGTGGATGGTTCATGTCATGCACCAACTTCTTGGTTAGTCTGTCCAGCTCTTCCTCAGGGGGGGCCCTGCTCGGGGCAGCCTAGGGCATGGGAAGAAGGGACAAGAATAAGGCTCAATCCCTTCTGTCCCCAAACCTCCAAGAGGAACGAGCCACAGAGAACCACATAATAATAACTAAAGTTCACAATAAATGGCACTTTGGAATTTCCTTAGGTGGATAAGGCAAGTATGTTTATCTTCACTTTAAAGAAGAGGAAGCTGGAGTGAAATGATTTGCATAATCTCTCAGTAAGTGTTAAGAGTTGGAGCTCACACTTGGTTCCTTTAGCCCCAAACCCAATGTTCTTCCCATGAGAACTGATTGCCAGGTCTCTCTCAATCTTCTAACACAATGGCCAAGGAAAGGGGAAGAACCCAGGCAACCTTGGGATCTCGGGCTGCCTCTTCCCCCTCTCCCAGCCACCCACCTTTCCTTTAAGGGGTTTTGTCACCTCTCCTCCAGAATCACTCCCACCCATTTCCCATCAATGACAAAAGCATTACTGTCTCCCCGGCTCACCTTGGGTACATATCCTCCTCCTGTTCTTCTTCCTCCTCTTGGGCCAGAGGCTCCAACACTCTCCTCTTTGGCCCTGAGCTCTCTGTGCCCCTCATAGGAACTCGCCCAAGACTCAGCCCAACTGGTAGAAGGAGGGTAAGGAGCTGGGGGTGGGCTAGAGGCTTGAGGGACACCCCGCCAGGACTGACCATACCCCCTCACAGGCTGAGCCACCTTCACCTGGACCGGGAAGGCAGGGCCAACTGGAGTGCTGGCTGTGGTATAGGAGGCAGGGGCAGGGCCCCCATAAGATGGGGCTGGGACCCTTGGTGGAGTGGTCACTCCTCCACCTGGTTTCAGGAGACCCATGCGGTAGGGAGGGGGTCGAAGGGGCTCACATGCCTAAAAAGAAATAAAGATAGCATGGGGTGAGTGGGATCTACCTTGACAACCTGTAAGTTCTTCCATGCTTATATATTACGACACAACCCAAAAGCCTTGGAATGGAAAAGGTTGGGGGTTTTGGCATCTTGTAGAAGAAAGAAAAGATCTCTCTGTTTTCCAAGGGCATGCTGTTGGAGAAGCAAAGGATGAGGATTCTGGGAGTCACCTGTCTGTCTGGACGACATGGAGCATGGCCCCTACTACTATCCAGGTCAGCCAACATGCTGGTCAGTGAATCTATTTCTGCATCCAGACTTCCCAGGTGTATGGCTCCCCTGTCTTGCCGAAGCCCCTGAGGTCAAGAAGAAAGGGGGCAAGGGAGTCAGGAAATTTCTACACCCATTCCCTGGGAACCCAAACATCAAGCCTCCACCTCAAAATCCTTCTACTTCCCACCTGTATGCTTTGGGAAGCTCCAGTACATCTCCCCAAGACTGGTGCCAGTTCTTCTTGTCGGCCTGGGCCCTGATAACTTTGCTCTGCTGGGAGATGGTAGGAATTGACTAAACATGAAGCGGGGTTAGGGCGCTGGTTAGAGAGGAAGGAAGAAAAGGGGAAGAGAAAAGCAGGCTTCCAGGAACAAGGGAAGGAGTGGTGTGGGACGATTCATTACTCCCCGAGGCTTCCTGTCTCTGCACAGCCCAGGTGTTAAGAGAAAGGAACCTGGAAGAAGTAAGACCTGCGCTGCGGGAGGGGTGGGGTGGGGGTGGGGCACTACGGTCTCCAGCAGGGGAGCAGGACAAGAAAGGAAAGTGGGGACCCAGGGACCCAGAGGGAAGCGAGGACTAGAGGGGCATTAGACACCCTCCACTCCTGGGTCCTAGGCTGGACTGCCCGTTACCTGCTCCGTGAACTGAGGGTCCGGGAGTGCCCCGCAGGAGAGCTCTTCCCGGGGGGAGCCTGGTGGGCTCCGGCTGCTTCGGGGGGAGCCAGGTGGGGCCAGACATGGCAGGGAAGGGGGTTCTAGCCACGAGTGGAGAGGATGGGAACTCCGAAGGGGTTCCTCCAGCGCCCACGGAGGGGGCCTCCTCCTCTGTTCTCCGCCCGACTCCGGCTCCGGCTCCGGCTCCGGCTCCGGCTCCGGCTCCGGCTCCGGCTCTGGCTCCAGGAGGGAAGAAACTTTTTCTGCCTTCTCTTTTTTCTTCTTCATCAATTTTGGGGAGAGCCACGCCCCCAGTGACATCACCGCATTCCTAAGTGATGAGGGTCACGTGGCGACCCAAGACTCCGGGCTGTCCACGCCTCTCCCCCTCCCCCCAGCCCCCCACCAACTTCCCCACAGCCCCCTCCTCTAGCTCGGCTTTCTCCCAGTTTCCCGGGGAGCTGGGGATGGAGGCTGGCGGAAGGTGGAGAGACGCGTGGCTGGGGGGCTGGGGTCCTGCGGTCCTGCGGGCTGGGGGCTGTGAAGAAGAAAGGAAGACAGAGAAAGAAGGGCTGCGGGGCTCGGAAGGCTCAGTGACCCCACACCTTTTTCTTTGGATTCACCAAATCACCAGCACGAGTGGCCCACGCCCCTAGCTCTCCTCTCCCTCGCATCTTACAGAGCCCGCCACGCTGCACCCTTCCATTCGCCTCCTTCCACTGGCCAGGGAATAGAGTAGGACCAGCGCTTCCCCATTCCTACTCTACTTTCTACTTCCTTTCTTAAAAAAAAAAATACATTTATGCATACATACATATATACGTACACATATATGCACATATATACATATATACTTACATGCATTTGTAATCTGCCCTTCCCATTCCTTCCCTACAGACCAAAAAAAATAAAATAAAACTGTCTTCATACACATGCAAAACAAATTCACACACTGGCCGTTCCTGAAAATGTTTGTTTCTGCTTTTTAAAGTTCGCCGGTTCACCCGGTCTTTGTTTTTTTTTTTTCCATTTTGCCTATGCTACTGTGTTTATTTTCTTCTGTGTATTGTGTACCTAATCTGTTCCACTGTTTGATCTCTCCCATTTTAAACCATGACCAAATTATTTTAATGATTACTGCTTTGTAGTACAGTTTGAGATTCAGAGGAAGTGAACCAGGGTGTTTAATCTTTGGGTCTTCTCTCTATAACATTGGCATTGTGTAAATTGTTTTTCCAATTGTGCTCACTTCGATCTTCGTCAGTTCATAGAGGTCATTCCAGTTTTTCACTGAAATTATCAAATTCATCATTTCTTATGGCACAGTAATATTCTGTTACAGTCAAATACCGTAATTTGTTTTCCCTGTAAGAGGAAAGCCTCTTAGTTTCCAATTTTTGGCTACTACGAAAGGATCTGCTCTTAATATTCTTGTCTACTTAGGTCCCTTTTCTCTCTCTCTTGACTTATTTAAGATACAGGCCTAGTGGTGGTATAGCTGGATTGTGGGGTAACTTTTTGGGCATCATTGCAAATTGCTTTCCAGAATGGCTGGACCAATTCACATTAAGTGATTCAATTAAGTGTACTAGTGCCTGTTTCCCTACAATTCCCCTCTCTAATCTTGTCATTTTCCTCTTTTGTCATCTCCAGCTAGTCTGATGGATGGAGTTGCTTTAATCTGCACTTCTTTAATTATTAGTGATTTAGAGCATTTGTTAAATGGTTATTCGTAGTTTGGATTTCTTCCCCCAAAAAGCTTGTTTTATCTTTTGACTATCAATAGGGAAATGGCTCTAATTCTTATAAATTTGAATCAATTCCTTAATTATCATGGATATTAGATCTTTATTAGAGAAATTTGCTGCAAAGATATTTTTCCTATTTACTAGATTCCTTTTTCATTTTAACCACATATTTGTGCAAAAACTTTTAAAATTTCAAATAGTCAAAATTGTCCCATTTTATCTTGTGCAATCTTTTATTATTTAACCTTTCCCCATCCATAAATCTGAAAGATAATTTCTTCTTCAATCCTCTAATTTGTTTACCTTTTATATCTAAGCCACGTTATCCATTCAGTGCTTATCTAGATACATACAGTAAAGTGTTGGTCTAAACCTAATTTCTGCCAGACTGCTGTCTAGTTTTCCTAGTAGTTTTTTGTCAAATACTGAATCCTTCCCCCAGTCACTAGGGTCTTTGGGTTTTTCATAAATTATACTACCTTTTGTTTGCTTCTGCATATTGTATACCTAATCTGTTCCATTGATTGATCTCTCTTTTTAAACCATGACCAGATTATTTTAAAGACTGCTTTGTAGTAAAGTTTGAGATTTGGTACTGACAGATCCTCTTCCTTCACAGTTATTACCTTTGAGATTCTTGACCATTTGTTCTTCCATATGGATTTCTTTTTATTTTTTTTTCTATCTTTATAAAATGTTCCTTTGGTAGTATGATTGGTACAGCACTGAATAAGTAGATTAATTTAGGTAATACTGTCATTTTTATTATACTGGCTAGACCTACAAACCAGCAATTAATGTTTCTTCAGTTTAGGTCTGTCTTTATTTCTGCAGAGTGTTTTATAATTGTTTTCAGGTTCATCTTGGTAGATATACTCCCAAATATTTTATATAGCTTTTGTAGTTATTTTCAATGAAATTTTTCTTTCAAGAACTTTCTGTTGTGTTTTGTTGATAACATATAAGAGTGCTGGTGATTTATATAGATTTATTTTATATCCTTCAACTGCTGAATTGTTTCAATGAACTTAAACTGGTTCACTCTTTAGGGTACTCTAAGTAAATCATCATATTATTAGCAAGAAAGCAATTTTGTTTCCTCTGTCTATTCTTATTCCCTCAGTTTCTCTTTCTGATCTTATTGGTACAGCTACCATTTCTAGAACTATATTAAATAATGGTGGTGATAATGAGCATCCTTACTCCATCTTTTTGGAAAGGCTTCTTTTTTCTTTGCATACATTTGCTTTTAGATTTAGATAGCTATTATTTACTCTATTAAAGAAAAACCCTTTTTTTCCTCCTATGCATTCTTGAGTTGTTCATAGAAATTAGTGTTGGATTTTGATAAAAGCCTTTTCACTATAGGTTGATAAAATAATATAGTTTTTATTATTTATATTATTATCATGATTAATATTATTTTTACTCTTTCTTGTATGAAACAAATACTGTATTTCTCATTTTGAATCAACATTCATTGGAGAGAGTGGCCTGTAATTTTCTTTCTTTTCTTCGTTTCTCCCTGGTTTGGGTGTTAAGACCGTATTTGTATCACAGAAAGATATTGGAAGATTCTTTTTTATTATTATTGCAGAAAGTTTTTGTAATATAGAATTAATTGTTCTCTGGATGTTTGATAGAAGCACTTGTAAATCCATCTGGTTCTGTAATTCTCCCCTACTGTATCTGGAAGCTTTTTTTAAAAAAAATAGTTTGTTCAATTTCTTTTTCTGGGTATTTTATATTCTTATAAATATTTATCTATTTCTTCTAAGTTATCAATTTTGTTAGTATATAATTGGGAAAATAGTTTCTGGTAATTTCTTTTATTTTTTCAATTGCTGAGTTCTTTTCCATTTTTGAGTTGAACAATTAGGTTTCCTTCTCTCTTTTAAAAAAATCTGATTAGCTATTTTATTAAATTTTTCTTTAAAAAGTTCTAATTTTTTAATTTAATGTTCTATTTGCTTTCATTTTATTAATCTTTTCTTTAATTTTCAGAATTTCTATTTTGTTGCTTAGTTGGGTTTTTTTTTGTTTTGTTAGTTGTATACCCAAGCCATTGATTTGTTCTTTCTCATTTTTATCAGTGGAAGTGTTTAGCAATATATATTTTCCTGTAAGAACTGTTTTAGATGCATCCCATAAGTTTTGGTATGTTGTCACATTATTATTATTTTCTTTTGTGAGATTTTCTATTGTTCTTATAATTTGTTCACTGGCCCACAAGTTTTTTAAAGTTATGTTATATAGTCTTTAATTTTTAAATATTCCAAGGGTTCCTTATTGAATATAATTTTATTACATTGTGATTAGTAAATTTATTATTATTGCTTTTCTATATTTTTTGGAGAAGTCATAATGCCCCAATACATTGTCAATTTTTGTAAAGATGCATTGTGCAGCTAGCAGTATATAATTCTTTTTCTATTTTCATCTTACGGGCTAGAGGCCTATCATCTCTAATTTTTCTAAAGTTTTAATCAGATTTTTAAAAAAGATGAAAATCTTTTGGCCCAATTTATCTAGACCTAAAAGTGATATATTAAGGTTCCCCATTGTTAAAGTTTTATTGTCTATTTCTCTCTTCCAATCAGATTAACTTTTCCTTCAAGTATTTAGATGCTATGCTGTTAGATGCATATATATAGATATATATGTATATACATATATATATTCATTATCTATGGTGCCTTTAAACATAATTTCCCTGCTTATCTTTTTATCTTGCCTATATTTACTATAGTTTTATCTGAAATTATGATTACTACCCCCCATCCCGCTTTTTAAAATTCAGCTGAAGCACAATGAATTTTGCTCTAGCACCTCATTTTAACCCTGTGAATCTCTCTGTTTCAATTGTTTCTTATAAACATGTCAAATTCTGTTTCCTAATCCATTCTATTTTCTTCCATTTTGTGGGTGAATTCATGCCATTCATATTCAAAGTTATAATTATTGTGTATTCTTTCCATCCTATTGTCTCTTTGCTCCCATCCCCCTCTTTTTAAAAATGTATTTATTTATTTTTAGTTTTCAACATTCACTTCCACAAGAATTTGAGCTCCAAATTTCTCATTTCTCCCCTCCCCCAACCCCAAGATGGCATGCATTCTGAATACCCCTTTCCCCAATTTGCCCTCCATTCTATCACACCCTCCCCTTCTCTTATCCTCTTCTCCTTCTATTTTCCTGTAGGGCAGGATAGATTTCTATACCCCTTTGCCTGTATATCTTATTTCCCAGTTGCATATAATAGTTATGTTGTGAAAAACTAACTATATTTCCCTTCATCCTATCCCACCCCCTATTTATTCTACTCTCTCCTTTGACCTGTCCCTCCTCAAGAATGTTTGCTTCTGATTACTCCCTCCCCCAATCTGCCCTCCCTTCTATCATCCCCTCTCTTATCCCCTTCCCCCCTATTTTTCTGTAGGGTAAGATAGATTTCCATAATAGTTATGTGGTGAAAAACTAACTGTA